TTCAATTTAGAAGTTTTCACGGTAGTAAAAGAATGAAGTGTTTTATTTTTTTGTTTAGATAGTTGAAGTTTTATTATGCAAAGTAGACTAAGAATTAAAAGCATGATAACATTTATCTCAGTTTTTAAAAGTGAAATTAATTTTATCGGACTTTTAATTCTTAGTCTACTACTTTGTTACGTAAAACAAAATAATTTAAAATGACTTCATTTTTTTACATTGTTAAAAGAAAAACGATCCGTGTTTCTGCTAACGTGGCATTTAATTTATGACACCTCACTTGTTAGAACTGAAATAAGTATTAAAAAAAACTGATAAATTATGAATTAAAGTACATGTTTATTTGTTTTTCTTTTTAAATAAAACAGAGGGTGTATAAACAAAAACAAGTTCTCTTTCTTTTAATATCGTAAAAAGTTTTTAAAGATTTCCCGATTTAGAAAAAATTTTTTTTTTATATATCCTTGTTTTATTAAAAAAAATAAACACAATTGTACTTCATAATTTATCAGTGAGGATTTATAAATACCACGTTAAGAGAAACACGGACTTATCCCATGTGTAGTGTGCGTGAAAATACGGCAGAAGCTGTCATAAAAAAATAGTATAAAAATATTCAATGTCTGAAGGCATAAAATATTATCACAATTAGAATGCTCCTTTTATTCTCTTTCCATACATGTAATTCTTTTAACGATTGGACCACAAATAAAATATTTATGTCTTGTTAAGCATTGATTGAGTTGAAAATTCACCGATGAAGTACGACAAATATATATATATATATATATATATATATATATATATATATATATATATAAATATATATATATATATATATATATATATATTGACAAATATATATATATACTGACAAATATATATATATATATATATATATATATATATATATATATTTGTCGTACTTTATCGGTGAATTTTATTTTTATTTTTATAATTTATATATATATATATATATATATATATATATATATATAAAATTGAAAAAGGTTAATGTGCATTGTAATATTGTATTCCTTCTGGGGAGGGGCGGCAAATTTCAGGGGGCCGACCTGGGCGGTAAATAACACTAGCTACGCCACTGGGAAATTGTGGATAGTCAAAATCTACCACGTCCTAAAGGGACACGACACATAGAAGAAGAAAGAATTGGTAGACAAAAGTTAAACTGGTCATGTTATTTAAAGGATTAGTTAGTTTCAACATAAAATAACTCCCTGTAATGAATTACACACTAGCGCAGCCTATTCTATGATTAATTTCCTTATCTTTATTTGAGTTTATCTCCTATACAAGAACAAGAAGAAAATCTACGATATTACAAAAAGGTCATGCGTTATATATAATAAACTCCTGGGCAATCACTTCTCTTTTGATTCATGACTGACTCCGCAGAAGATTTCATGCAGTAGGTTGTCGTTTCTTTCCGCGTTAAATTGGTTGCCAACCGATGGTAAAGGGTCCAGTCTGTTCTATCATTCAACCCATAGGTGGATTCATCCTTTTTCGAGGCTATTTGTACGTAAGGGAATCTAATGAACCTGGCTAAAATTCGAACTCCGATTGTTCATTCACACACCCACGCCTTACTGACGAAGCTTAAAAGTGGAAATCTTATTTGTTTTGTTTGATTCAAAAGCCTTATATCAATTGCTGAAACATTTACCATTTACGTATTTTCCAGAAAGCAACGTCTGTTTGCATTTCAATGTCAATAAGAGAAAGAATAAAATCCTTAAAAACATATATATTCATTTAATATTTATATAATAAATGCTTCTGGTAATTGTTCTTATTATAGTACAGCGAAAGTATGCAAAAACGCATTTCAATAATTCTTTATTGGATGGAGACTCTTACATTATGTGTACGTTGACACGTAGAGTCAAAGATTAATTTCTTCGACCCAAAACTTTTTAATTAAAGAATTAAATTCCTGAATCGACATCGAGATATAAAGGGATCTATATTACACGCTGTGAAGTTGTACACATGTTTAAACACTCAACAAAAGTTATATGTAAGTAAACACACATATGTAAATAAATAAACACACGTATGCAAATAAGAATAAAGACAAAATGGAAACCTATCTTATCGGACGTGTTTCGTTCTCTTAGGGAATTTATCAAGTCAGATGCATATGTAAATAAGCACAGATATGTAAATTAATAAATACACATATGTAAATAAACACATATATATACAGTGCTGTTCGATAAAAGTGACTCACCTGATTTTTTTACTAAAAATATTTTTGGTCTATTATTTTTGGGGTTAAAATAATTTTTAATCTTACTAATATAAAGACCCCTTCCCAACCACCTAGGAAAAAAGTTTATTCACCCTAAGGTATTCTATTGATAATTATAAATTTGGATATAAACGAGATTCAGAAAAAAAAGTAACTCAGATATCGCATTCTAATGATAAAACTAGTAAATTTAAGGAGCTTTTGACAAAATATTGAAAACTATTTTACAATACACTCAGAACAATATTCTAGGGATTCTAGAACAGCTTAAATTAAATCTAGAGTATTCCAGAATATTCCAGAAAGCCTCATACAGTATAAATCAGCTTGAAATAGTCACTCAAGTCACTAACCAGATGAAAGGGTACAAACACGCATCAGAACCACTTAAGGCATCTATTATTACCCTCTCAAAAGCAGGCAAGTCTACGAGAGAAATTGCAGAAATTGCTATAACCTCACAATCAACTGTTTCTCGAGTGCTTAGAGCACATAATGATGCCATTCCTGCTCAAAGGAAGGAAACAAGGGGACGAAAGAAAAAGATTGATGATAGAACTGGCAGGGTAATCAAGAGAAAATTGCGAAGAATAGGACTATAACTAGCCAAGAAATTGCAGCCAGTCTAAGCGAAGAGCAAGGTTTTAGTCTTGCCCCTTCAACAGTCCGTCAGAACAAGGTTACAAATCTTGTTAGGACAAGGCTACAAATCTTGTACACGAAGGTTTAAGCTGTTAATAAGCAAAGCCAGCAAAGCCAAGATACTTGAATTGGGCTCACTATTACAAAAATTTCACCGTAGAAGACTGGAAGAATGTTCTCTTCTCCGATGAAACAAAAGTTGAGCTAAATTCAAAGGATAAGGTGAGTCACTTTTATCGAACAGCACTGTACATACGATTTATTTCGCGTAAACAGAAATTTACGGATAATCAGATGATAGTTAAAAAAAGAACAAAACAAAAAGAAATCTTAGTAACGCGTTTTGTCCTTAAAATGAATTTCTTTAGATTAATGAAGTCGATCTCTTTTTATTTTATATATATATATATATATATATATATATATATATATATATATATATATATATATATTCTGTTTATAGGTTATTTTTATAGATACAATTATTTAAATAATTTATTTTATAATAAACAGTATTAATTATATTTACCTGCTTGAATGTCCGAGAAATTTAGTAGAAAATGTGTACTCCACCAAATTTCGATTATATATGATCTTTCTAAAAAGATCGTGGGAAATTTGTTGTTTAAAAACAGTAACTTGAAATTTTCTTAACAGACGCTATCTCTGTAGCTAGATGGTATAGCACGTCAGGTGAAATGACGGTTCCGTATATGATACAGGTTTTTCAAGACATCATACATGACTATCAAAATTTTTAATAAATTATAAGAAAACTTTCAAATTCCGAACCGTTTACTATTTATATTATTTAATAACATAAATTTATTTATCAAACTAAAATAATATAAATATAAATTTCTTTATATAATAAATAACAATAACAATAACAACATTTACTCACTTTCATTAATTAGGAATTAAATTACATCACTTAGCACCCTCCATACTTTAGCTATGTTAGCCGGAAGTGTATTTATAAGCTTTCTGAAATTTAAAAATTGAGAAAGACTAACGACATTTTTTTTATTTCTGTTTATAAATACGTTTTGCAAATTAAAACCTTTACATTTGCTTTGATAAAAAGTACATCAACTGATGAAACACGTCGGCACACACACACACACACACACACACACATATATATATATATGTCTCTGTGTGTATGTGTTTGTGTGTTTGTAAGTGTTTGTGTGTATGTGTGTTTGTCTGCATGCGTGTACTTACTGAAGTAGTCTTTATTGTATTTTGCATTGATTTATCTAATATTAAAAAAAAAAAAAATAAGCGAACGTTACACGGTTCGACAAGCACCTGAGGAAGGCCGGGGTGCAGAGTGGTCGAAACGTTGTGATAATAACAACACAACAAAGATGATCAAAATAGGTCAAATCTAAATGATAAGGATACTGTTAACGATACCTACCAGAAATTCATCGCGCACACACACACACACACATATATATATATATATATATATATATATATATATATATATATATATATATGCGTGTGTGTGTGTGTGTCTGTCTGCATGTCTACTTATTGGAATAATCTTTATTGCATTTTACATAGATTTATCTAATATTATAAAATAAGCGAAATTATAAATAATTGCTTAAGGTTATATCTGTTGATTTCAGCAATGACCCTTTGCCATAAAAAAAACTATTATAAAATTAACATTTCACTTCTTATCGAAGATTTTGACCTTTGTTCCAAATTTCAGCCTAATGCAATCTCAAAGATCGTTTCATTCAATTGGTGGGAATGAAAATAGCGAAATATTGTTGCTTAATTGTACCGAATAATTGGATTGTTATCTGCAACGAAGGCCGATTGTTTCAAAATATTTACTTGTGATTTTGCAGAGTATATGTCGAAACGTGTTTTTTTTTTCGTTTTAAATGTTAAAGTCTTTGAAATTAATATTTTATTCGTTAGCTGACTTGTTTTCTTATTTTCTTATTTATTGTAACAAGGTTTTCTCATGTTATGCTAACAATTTTTTCGCATTTTATTATAACAGTGTTTTCACATTTTCTTATAAGAAGTTTTTTTTTCATTTTGTTATAACAAAGTTTTATGAAGAAAAAGTCGAAGAAGAATCAAAACGTATTGTGAAGAAGAAGAAGAATAAAGAAAAATATGGAGGAAAGGTGGAAGTAACTGTAAAAAGGATGATGAAAAGAAAAAAACAAGAAAAGAGAGCATAAGAAATGGAGAGGAAAAAGGATGAAAAATAAACAGAAGTGCAACAAAAATAAACAATGAAAGAAAGAAAGAAAAAAGTAAGAAAGAAAGAAAGAAAGAAACGAAGAAATAAAAAAGAAAGTAAGAAATAAAGAAAGAAGGAAAGAAAAAAGTAAGAAAGAAAGTAAGAACGAAAGTAAGAAAGAATGAAAGATAGAAAGAAAGAAAGAAAGAAAGAAAGAAAGAAAGAAAGAACGGCAACAATAAATACATAAAAAAAGAATGATGAATGTGTGATAAGCACTTCAGTTAGGAGAGCATTTAATTTAGCAATGAGTGAATGACCAGACGGAAGGGTCATCAGAATGCTAAACAATAATGTAAGCAATTAATAATTATAGCATTACTGAGACAACAGTAAAAATAAACATGGTAATTGTTATAATTATAAGAGGAAAATACATCATTTTTGAAGTAACGACAAATCTTTGAGATATGCAGAAATGGGACAGGGATGCACACAGACATACACACAGATAAAGACGCAGAGAACGAGAGAGAAAGACAATAGATAATTAAAGAGAGGGAAAACGATAGATAATTAAAGAGTGTGCGAGGGAAAAAGAGAAATCGAGGTGATAAAATAATAAAAAAAGGTATCTCACAATAGAATCGACCTTTGCAGCTGGATGTTTAGCTTGACACTTGCTGGGTCCTAGCGAAATTGTCATTCATTTGATCTTCTCAGAATTTCATGACATTGTTGTATACTCTCCACGCGAGCTGCGCAAATAAATAAATAAAAAAATAATTAAAAAAAAAAAAATAAATGAATAAATAAAAAATAAAAAAATAAAAAATAAATAAATAAAAATAAATAATAAATAAATAAATAGATAATAAATAAATAAATAAAAAATGAATAAATAAATAAAAAATAAAAAATATTACAAAACAAAAGAAAACTGCTATTTTTAGACTAGCTTGAGGTTTAGTTTATTGGTGAAGAAACAGTTTGCGTAAGCTGTGTTCGGAATTGTACAAAATTTAGAAAAAGCTTGATTTTTATTAATTGAAAAGATGTATTTGCCAAGTGGTTAGGAATTTCAACTGAACTCACTTCCACCAAAAATCAAAGAACCATCAGGAACGAATGATTTATTCAACAAATAGAACGTTTTCAATGTTCTGTTCGTGTTATACAAAGAAAAGAAGAACTACTTGACAACATTTCATAATGGGGATTGTTGAATAGGTAAAAAGAATTTACAACTTAAACAAAATTTTCTTCTCGTTGGCGATTATGGCTCTCCAAAATGTCTTTTTACTTTTGGCCATTATTAGTTTTTTTACTTTTTCCAATGCACTCGCCCACAGCTCCATAACCCATTCCCCAAAGCACACTGTTTCTAACTCTTTTTTGACCTCGATATTTTTTTTTAAGCATTACACTCCAAGCAAGGCGGAAGTGCCACTAGCACGCAAGGGGTTACAGAGAGTGGGAGTAAGAGTAAAGAGGTGTGATAGAGGAAAGGGTGAAGAGAAGGACGGGGAGTTAGATCAAGGCAACTGAAGATGTCGATTGACATTGCATTTGTAGTGAAGTTAAACTTTCTAAATCGATGCAAAGAAAAAGGATAAAAATGAAGAGGTACATTATCTTAGCAATAAAGACAAGAATGAAAACAAATGAAGTCTATGTGGATGGGAAAGAGGAGCTTATAATACATATTTACCAAGTATAGTTTTGTTTGGCAAAATTGTCTTAAGTGTAAGCTATTCATTGAAAGTCATGCTCGATCCCAATAGATGAGTGATAGTAACTTTATGAACAACATCTTTGTTGCTATCGTCACAGCATTTCGGCCGTCGTGCCCTTCATCAGATGTTTGCCGATTCAGGTAACCGTCAGTGAATTTCGAACTGAATCCCTTATTTAATCTAGATTGTTCTCGTTCCACTGATCATATCAAAGGATATCTCGTCTAGTTCTTATTTAGTACTGCTTAGTTATTGCTCGCCACGTGTCCAAGGACACCCTGCCTGGTGCAGTGATTACTATATTACCAAATTCCCAAAAAAACATTTTAATCCACTAGGCAATTGCTCAGTGGGGCAATCCCGTGTAAGGTATTTGACGCCTTAGGCCATTATACAATAACAACAAAGATAAGAACCATAGACCGCGTGTAAATATTAGAAACAGTGATAAATCTTCATTCCATAAATTCAAACAGAAATTAACTTTATTCTCGTATTATTTCGGACTATTGTTCGGATCTTTGTTAATATAGAAGTTATTATAGGCACAACGTTTCGACCAAGTACCTTCTGGTCATCAATCATGTGTCCATTATCAGAGTGATATTGGATATCTGTTGTGTCGATAATAAGGTTTACAGGGTGTCCTTAAAGTCTGTACACATAGGCAAAAATGCATATTTTCAACCACATTTTATTAATTTGGAATATTAACAAATAACATCTACAATATGATTTCCATCATTTGAGATGCAAAGATTGATGAGCTTTGCAAGATTCACCTGAGCTCGATGACATTGCCGTCATTTTTAGCACATTCAATCTATATGCGTTCATACAAGTGTGTTGCATCTCTTACTTTCATTGAGTACACCCTCTCCTTTAGCATATCCCAGAAGAAGTAGTCAATTATTTCTTCTTTCGACAAAACTATGTTTAATTTGAGGAGGTAAAAAATATAGTTAATGAGATTTTTTATGTGTCCAGACTTTAGGGACACCCTGTAAATTAACCAAAACGAGAAGAACAATTCAAAATAATACAAGACTATTGGCAATTACTCATTTAAGAAATGAATGCGATCTTTGAATGGTGTGATACGTATATCATTTCGAAGATCATTTGCATTCTGTTTATACTTGCTGTGTTGATAGCTTGTTTCAGTAAAATAATGCTCTTCAACAGCAGGTGGGTAACTTTTTATTTGTTTAACGAAAATAGTGTCTTCCATCTCATTCCGGCAAGGAATTGCTCAATTTTTTGTAATAAATTTAGCATGTATTCTTCCTTGTTTGTAATAGGGACATTTTTTTATCTAGTGTGGAATTCTGAATTCTTGCATTGCAGTTTTCTCCGTAAATTTTGTAAACAAACATCGTGCATTCGAAGAAACAATCGTTGTGAGTTCGTAGAAAAACATGTAATAGTGAATTAACACACAGGAAAAATAATATGTTAGTGATGGTTAATATGGTTTATGAAATCGTCACAAAAATACACTGGAAATAAAAGTGCTCAACTGTAATATAGAAGCGGAAGTTATAATAAGAATAAAAAAAATAAAAAATTAAGTTAAAAAGTAAAAAAAAATATTTTTAAAATATAGTGTTCATAATTTTTTTCACTTTAAAAAATAAAGCGTTAAGAAATCAATTGAGCAAAATCGTCTAAAGATAACAAAAGATTGAAACCAAGGGAGCGGAATCGGCTGATCTCCTAATTATAAATCTCCTGTAATATATATATATATATATATATATATATATATATATATATATATATATATATATATATATATATATATATATATATATATATATATATATATATATATATATATATATATATATATATATATATATATATATATATATATGTATATATATATATATACATATTATATGTATATATATATATATGTATGTATATATTACATATTATAAATATTACATATTATATATATATATATATATATATATATATATATATATATATATATATATATAGAACAGAGAAATCCAAAATTACCTCTTGAGTATAGTCTATTACAGCAAGCGAGTACGTCAGTCTTATTCAACTCAGACGGTGGACTGTATTCTGTGTCGGAACTAGAGATTTAAAATGTAATATTTAACAAAGACAGTAGTTGAAAAATTGATACAGAGCCTACCCACATCGAAGCCTCGACAAGACAGACGGCCCGAGTAGTAGGAAGGGGAAATTATTTGTCTTCAAAGGAAAGAAGCTCCATAAATTCATATACCAACGGATTTATTACCAGTACTATATATATATATATATATATATATATATATATATATATATATATATATGTCGATTAAATATATATTATTGGATAGTACTCGTTCACTTTACGTTTTACCAGACTTTGAATTATGACACTTTGTGTCCTCCACATATGTTGACTGACTTTTTAATCAACAGATGAACATTCATGAATGTTCTCAAATGTATAAGCCTTGATAAACCAATGGCATCCTCGCCTCTGTATGTAAACACGTGCAACATAATCGATCCTACATTGCCTTGTTAAAATCCTTCACAGGACAAAACGTGTCGGCTAAGTATAGCTTTTTCTCATCTCTCTTTTTATTCATGTTGTCTCTTCTACAGATACACTCTATCTCAGAATATATATATATATATATATATATATATATACGCATTCAGAACATTGCCAAACATGCAAATAACATAATAAAAATGGGTGTGTAGAAGAGGAACGTGTGTGATTGGTAGCAAGAGGAGGCAACCTGAACACAGCTGCCACTCCCGACTCGAACTTCTATCACCGAGAAGAAAACAAAATGGAGTCGATAAAAAGCAAGTAGTGAGTGATGGCAGAGGAAGAAAAACAAATAAAGCCAAATAAAACGCCGGCAAACAAGCAATTAATGAAAACTTCTCAAATATCCCGGAATTGGAATAGTAAATTACTTGAAAACAATTTCTCGTTAACCTGCACTGCTCCCCGGTTGGGCTGAAGCGATTTTTCCGAAATGAAATTAAGCCGGCCATTTCCCATCGAACTGGCCCTTGCATGCGTCCGTGCGTTTGGGGGTCACGCAGAGAACCGAAAATTTATGGCCGGCGAATTTTATTGGCTTGGTCGGATGGTTGTAATGTGCGCCAACAACCAGTATCCAACGTGCTGGAGCGGTCTTGTGTGTTAAGGGTCATTGGTTACCCGTTGCTGAGGCCGGTTGGTGAGATTTTCCTGTAGAGCACAGTGCCGGGTGGAACTGTAACGGGTGGGTCGCGGGTAGACTAGTAGCATAAACCTGCAATGAAATCTAACAAATGATTGTACTGGATAATTTGTTCGTTGTAATAAACGGAGTACGTTTTGGTATGTTATATTATAGGGTCTGGCGTAGTCAGATAAAGTGTAAGGTTTATTAAAATACGCTATTACACTCGTAGCTGTTGGGGGCAGGGTTAAGTATTTTCAAAGCACTGGAAGCGGAGAAACTCGGCCTGGAGACAGAAAATAATTTATTACTTGTAAGGAAACTGTAAAACATTAGAATAATCGTAAAACGAAAATGCTATTGTAAAAGTGCTGATCAATCAATGATT